ACCCGCTCCTCCGAGCACACAGCAAGACAGCAAGCAAATCAGTACGAGCTTGAACTCTTGCTGATCCTTCCCTCCTTCTCTCCTTCCCCTGCGCTCTTCTCTTCTTTCCCATCGTTCCTCTCTTCATCCCGCGCTCTCTTCTCTCCTCCTGCCCTGCCTTGCCCTGCCCTGCCCTGCCCTACCCTGCTATCTTGTCTTCTCCCCTGTCCGTTGCTCCCTTGCTTCATCTGAGTGAGCTCGGCAGCTCTCGAGCCTTCTTCCTCTGTCACCGGACGCCCAGCTGAGCGGGCTCCCAAGACGCCGTCAAAGCGCGAAGTTCGACCGCACCAGCCCAAGATGAGCCACTCGCATCGGACGGGAGAGAGGAGGAACTCGAGGGTGACCTGGGAGTCTCTGAAGGAGAGGTGAAGCTGCTGCTGCTGCTGCTGCTGCTGCTGCTGCTGCTGCTGCTGCTGCTGCTGCGCTCTCAACCTCCTGCATGTGCCCCTGCTGTCCACCATGTTGCGCCTTCTCTGCTCCCTGCCCCAACGCCTCCCCTCACCTCCTTCCAGGTACGAGAACTCTAGCTTCTTTGCCATGGCGACGAGGTACTTCAACACAGCGCTGGAGGAGCAGGTCTACATCGAGCAGTACAACTCGCTCAAGGCGGACCTGGACAAGGTCATCAAGGACGGGATCCTCTCCCCCGTCCGCCGCATCTCCATCCCCGCGCGCGAGAGCTGCAACCTGGTCGCTGTCCTGACGGCTCCCAACCGTGTAACGGAGGGGGACTCGCGGCAAGTGGGAAAGATCAGGAGAATGGACAAGGCGATCAAGATCAAGTTGATCGAATACGACCAGGAGCTGCTCGACCGGGCCATGTACCACCGGGGGAGGCTGGTGACGTACACCCCCGACGTGTCGCAGGAGATCCCAGAGCGAATCCTTCCGATCACTGCCAAGGTGATGAGGATGAGGATGAGGATGAGGATGAGGTGGGGGGTGATGAAGATGAGGAGGAGGAAAGGAAGAAGAGGAGGAGGGGGAACAGGAGTAAGCTGAGGAGGGGAAGGAGGAGAAGGGGAATGAGGCGAGGGGCGAGAAGGGAGATTGGCAAGAGGGGGAGGGGAAGGGGGAGGGGAAGCGCCAAAACGAGGATATGGAGTACAACGAGGAGAGCTCTAGAATGGAAACAAGTTACAGCAAGAGGGTGCAGTGGATCGTTTGTTTGTGGAGGAGTGATAAAGGGCGGGGAGGGATGGGGGACAGGAGGTAGTGGAGAGCGGGAGGGGGGACAGGAGGTAGTGGAGAGTGGGAGGGGGGACAGGAGGTAGTGGAGAGCGGGAGGATGACTTGTGATGGTTCAGGTATGTCGGTCGATCATGGAGGTTGCGCAAAGGCACATCAACTTCGGGACGGTGCTGGCAAAGAACGACTACGCGAAGAAGCTGATCATCAAGAACCTCTCCGACGTGCCGCTCATGTATGAGATAGTCAAGAACAACAACTGGGTCTCCTCTGCCTTCATGAACTTCGAGGGGATGGAGGGGATGGGCGTCGTCAAGCCCCACGGCCAGCACGAGAAGGATTTCGTCTTCACCCCAAAGATCTCCGGAAAGTTCCACGAGGTCAAAAGATTCTCCTGCTCGTGCTCCTGCTCCTGCTCGTGCTCGTGCTCCTGCTCCTGCTCCTGCTCCCATCACATGACCTTTTCCTATCCCTGTTTCCTCTCCCGCTGTCCCTCAGGCTCTAAGCTGCGCCTGGCTGAGCTGCCTTTCTCTTTGGATTGGATTGTTCGGCGTCCCCCTCCCCTCCCCCTCGCTTCTCTATCTTTCTTGTTTTCCTTGCCCCACGTCATCGCGTTTTCTTGCCTGCTCATCCCCTTCTCAGGTTCTTCGCATCAAGAACCTCCAAGACCCGGAGAATCAAGTTGAAGTCACCGTGAAAGCCCTGGTCGCTTTCTACTCCTTTTGCGCCTCCCACTCCTGCGCCTCTTGCTGCTGCTGCTGCTGCTGCTGCTGCTGCTGCTGCTGCTGCTGCTGCTGCTGCTGCTGCTGCTGCTGCTGCTGCTGCTGCTGCTGCTGCTGCTGCTGCTGCTGCTGCTGCTGCTGCTGCTGCTGCTGCTGCTGCTGCTGCTGCGCCTCTTGCTGCTGCTGCTGCCCCTGCGCCTCTTGCTGCTGCTGCTGCTGCCCCTGCGCCTCTTGCTGCTGCTGCTTCTGCTGCTGCTGTTTTCCCTGCTCCTAGCCCTAGTCCTTCTTCTTTCCGTGCTCACTTTCCAGCGCAGGTGAGGAAGAGGAACACCTTCTCTCTCCTCCCCAACTCTCTCGACTTCGGGCGGTGCATCAACGGAGAGCGAACTCGCATGTGCCGCATCGAAGTCCGCAACGAGACTTCGTCCTCCCGCACCGTCACCATCAAGCACGGCAACCTGGTGCTGAAGAGTGCAGATGAGACGAAGCAGGTCCAGTCCCCAGCCTCTTCCGTCCTCCTCCTCAACTCTGCTACAGGTCCCTCTACCTGACGGCGCTCTGCAAGTGCACTATGTGCTGGAGAAATGCACTGTAGTGCACGAGAAGGTCTGTTGCCCCTCCCCGTTGCTGCCGGCTGATGGCCCGTCAGGTGAACAAGGAGGAGGAGCTCGAGAGGATGGAGAGGAAGCTCAGGATCTACATCCGTAAGGGGAAGCATGGCAAGGCTGAGAAGCTCAAAGAGAAGATATCTGCGCTTCAAGGTCTCCCTCCCCCGCCCCAAAGCTCCTGATCCTTCTCCTCCTGATCCTCCTCCTCCTCCCCCTCCTTCTCTCCCTCCTCCTCCCTCCTCCTCCCTCCTCATCCCCCTCCTCCTTTCTCCTCCTCCCCCTCCTCCCCTCCCTCTCCTCGTCCTGCTGCTGACCCTCGTCCTCCACTTTTCCTATCCATCTTCTCCTTCATGATCTTTTTCTTCCTTCATGCCCTTGCACAACTGCTTCCCTTCCGTCTCGTCCGAATACTCTGACAATCTCTCGTTCAGGCAAGCCCCTTCCGGATCCTGCGCCCGGCAGCGCGACAGAGGGCAGTAGAAACCCATCACCGTCACCTGAGAACAGGTGAGACGATGTCCTTAACGTCTGCGATCGAACAGAAGAAGACGATGATCGAGATGATATGATCTTGATAAGATACAAAGACGATGATATAATCTAGATGATACGTTGAATTGATAGAGATGATATGGAGAATATGATCTAAAGGATTCTTGATGATGTAGATGATACGGTGATAGCATGTAGATGAGATGTAGAGATGAGATGAATTGATTCCTTCTCCCGTGCCGTTGTCAACTTCTTCTTCCTGCTGATGTACCTCCAGCGACGAGAGCGTGTCCGGGGCCTCAGTCTTCACCGAGAGCGACTACTCCTCCGACGACCAGGTGCGACAGCAGCCGTTGACTTGACCACCGGAAGTTTGACAAGCCCACAGAGCGACGCCGAGGACTCCGAGTGGCAGAGGAGGCAGATGAAGAGTGAGGTGAGAAAATCGTCGGCTCGTCCGCACCGCAGTTGTCAAGAGCCTTTGACATGGTTCTTTCAACCCATGGGACTCTCCCCTCCAGCTGCCTCATAAGTCCGGGCAGGTCCGCAGACTCTCTTCCCCTGCTGGGCTGCTGCTGACCCCCCCCGACTCCAGTGCATGGTCATCCTACCGGGCAAAGGCCTTCAGACCATCCTGCTCAACCTCTCCATCGGGGAGATCTCTCAGGCCGGAGAGCTACTCTCTTCCTTCGGCTCCCAGCGGACCATCCGGGGCCAGCTGATCGCCCATGAGACCGCCAACAGGGACAGCCACAAGGTGGGCTGGGCCCGTGCTGGGCCCGTGCTGGGAGGCTGACGGGGTGCCAATGCAGATCATCGAGTTCTCAGCTCAGTGGGTCCTCGAGCAGGAGGTGTCCAGCGCCGCGGGCTCGGAGGCTTCAACCTTGCTGCACACCATCAACGTCCCTTCCTTGAGACCAGCTACCACCCCCTTGCCCTCCACCAAGGCCGCTCCTTCTGTGATGACCCCCTCCTGCTTGCTTCTCTTGGCCCCCTCTCCTCTCTCCTCCACTGCTCTGCTCTGTTCTGATCTGCTCACCTGTTCTCTGCCCTCCTCCGCTCTCTTCAACTCCGCTCTGCTTTGCTCCCATCCCTACTCCTTCCTCCCCACCTCTTCCCCGCTCTCTCTGATCTCCTGCTAGCATGAGCTTGAAGTCGAAGGCTTGACGAGGAGCGGCACCCTCACAGCAGAGCAAGTCCGAGCCGCGCGGTCTCTACTCCTTCTGCCTCCTACTCCAGCTCCAGCTCCAGCTCCAGCTCCTGCTCCTTGCTCCTGCTCCTTGCTCCTACTCCCACTGCTCCTCCTGCACCTGCTTCTTTGTTCTTATCCAGGTCCTCGTTCCCTTCCTCCTCACTTTCATCCAGCACTGCTCGCCCGAGCCACAGCCGAATGATCGGCTCAGCTCTTGAAGTTCGCCCGTCGTTTGTCGAGATGAACGAGGTGAGCTGGAGCCCAGCTGGAAAGAGTGTGACACGAAGTCAGGTGTACGTGGGGGAAATCTTCGAGGGAAGTTTCGAAATTCACAATCGAAGTTCTGCAGCTCTTGGATACCTAGTCATGAATCCTTCCGGTATGATGGAGATGAAGATGATGACGGAGAAAGAGATGAAGAAAGACATGGAGATGATGATGGAGATGATATGATGGTGATGATGATAGAGATGATGATGATGATGATGATGATGATGATGATGATGATGATGATGATGATGATGATGATGATGATGATGATGATGATGATGATGATGATGATGATGATGATGATGATGCGAAGGAGTAAGCTATACAGGAGATATGAATGTGATGTACCATGTACAGGCAAGAAGAAAGAGCAGCACAAAGAGAAGCCAGGAGCTCTCAACGTGGAAGAGGTGCCGTGAAACAGGAAGCGATCGTTTCTGAGATGATTTCGATCAGGTTGAGGGGAGGATGAGAGCCGCTGGGTCGTCGAGAGGAGAAACTTTCAAGTTCTCATGTCAACACGGGAAGCTCGACCCCGGAGCTTCTCAGACTATCAGTTTCACGTGAGACATTCCCCGTTGCCTTCTACTTCTTGTGCATCTTGTTCTTGTTCTTGTTCTTGTTCTTGTTCTTGTTCTTGTTCTTGTTCTTGTTCTTGTTCTTGTTCTGCTGCTCCTGTTCATTTCTGCTTGTGGTGAACGCTTCTAACGTGCTCGCTGCTCCCCTCCTCCTTCCCTTTCATCTCCATCTCCATCTCCTCCTCCCTCCCCTGCCTTACTTCGTCTTCAGGTGCATCCCCGACCAGACGGGCCGGCAGACGCACACGATCATGGTCCGAAACATCACTCAGACGGCAGATAGCACCGTCATGGTGTCGTTCTCGGGGAGGAAGAGGGGTAAAGAGTCCAGCAGCTACCTCAAGTTTCCTCAGTGTCAGGTGCGCGCCATGGCGGCTGCAGGGTGAGCTGACAGGTGGAGCAGGAGTGGGACAACGGGGTGCTGGGCATGGACTTTGGGGAGTGTTACATCGCTCCTAAGGGAACTACCCACAAGAACCGATACCTCAAGACGGTGAGAGAGGAGAGGAAAATGAGCGGGTGGGGGAGGGAGGTAGAGGGAGTTGAGCAAGGGTAGAAGAAGGGAGGGAGGGAGGGAGGGAGGGAGGGAGGGAGGGAGGGAGGGAGGGAGAGGAGGGAGGGAGAGGAGGAGGGAGGGAGGGAGGAGGGAGGGGAGGAGGGAGGGAGGAGGAAGGGAGGAGGAGGGAGGGGAGGGAGGAGGAGTGCGAGGAGGACG